TGCTAATAAAGCTAGAATTGAACAAGAACAAAATTGGGGGGGGAGGGGGGAGGTGCTATAGAAACTTTGTTCTTGATATCAAATATGAAGGTCTGGGTTGAACCAAGACTAAAGGAGGCTTAAATGGGGCTGGAACATAATCCTGAATTCTGTCGTCCGCCTTGTAACATTAAGAGAATCATGTAAGGAAAGTCATGGATTGTACAGCCTGCTCAGGATCAGTCAGATTTGTATTTAGTGCACTTTACTGGGTTTGGCTGACATCTTGTATTATGCTAGGTGCTGAAGAAACAAGCTGCAATGAACTAAATAATGAGTTGCATTTTGTGTCATAAGATCGCTTGGGTATTTTCACTGCCTTTTTTCAAGGAAAAAGTGGGGGTTGATTTTGGGGAAAATCACAACAGCAACCTCCCTTTGCATGCATTGGCATGGACAGCCCTCTGTGCCTGTACCAAAAGCATATTTCTAGTTGGCTCATGGCTCAGTGTTGCCATTTACATGTTCCATGAGCAGCAGATATTGGGTTCTTAGTGTATTGTATTTCCAGAGGTATCCAGGCCACTCAGTGGCAAACTCATCTCCAACCTTTTCACAATTCTTTCTGTTGGATGAGTAAATTTTGCTATCGCATTAGTGTATTTGGTGGTGCTCTGCCTTGATATGTAAAGGACTATTGTGTATGTTTGAACATGTATAAAATATTCCCAGGCAAAACTTTAAAAGGCTGTAAGGTTGCATCAGGGCTTCACCCATCCAAAATGTTCATAATTTCATAGCGTAAGGGCAGAAGGGACCCTTAGATCATCTAGTTTGGCATCCTGTATGTCATAGGCCACTAAATTTCATGGAGTTACCCATGTATTGAGCCCAATAACTTCTTTAGTTAAGGTATATTTTCCAAAATGGCATCCTTTATTGATATGAAGATATCCATAGATGCAGAATCCACCAGTTTCCTTAATAGTTTGTTCAGTGGTTAATCCACTGTTTAAAAAAAAACTAATTGTACCTTATTTAATTTTTATTAAAATAGAATTAAAAAAACAAGGAAATTCCACTATCTTTGACTGTGGACGTTGTATGTGTGAGCAGACTACATTTGCTAATTGTAGACATGTGCTGTTTGAAAGCCCAATCAAATACAATAGCTAGACACAGCCTTGACTGAAGGTGTAGCTCTTCCATAATTCTAAATTCCACCAGTACACTGAATACTCTGTATCATACCTTTTCATTATTCCTGCTACAAATCTGTGTATAAGTAGTTTTTAAGCCTAGGAAAGTATTCCCTGAACACCCTTTTATACCCTGGACCCCTAAGTAGGCCCAGGAAGAGATGGAAGACGGGGTCTGTAGGGAGGAAAAACAAACTTTGACATGGTAGTCCCTTATTTCTCCCTACTTTTTGCATGGGGTCAGGGAGAACAGGGGGCAGGGCAGCAATCTATGGAGTGGCAGTGTTTTCCAAATATGGAAGTAGTCACTAAAGTGTTTTTTTTTTAAGGTGGTCAGCACAGAAATGTGCAGCCTTTCAGTGATGAGGATGCATCAATTGAGACTATGAGCCACTGCAGTGGCTTCAGTGACCCTGCTAGCTTCACTGAAGAAGGTATGTTTTTGATTTTGATCTATGCATCTTGTGAAAGAATTTCTTTAGAAACAAAATTGATGTTTCTGACACATGCCTCTTATCTAATCTTCAGTCACAAACAGTGCAGTAATCTTTCAAATAACCAAAAAATTGGGGTTCTCAGGGCATTACTGACCCCCATTTTATAGCTATTTTAAGAGGTACCATTAAAGTATTTACAGATAAATGTACAACATGTTCCATAAGACTTTTAAACCTCCTGTGGTTTCTTTATTCTGAGTATACTATGCTAATTTCTAAAGCAAAGTTTAGATTTAATCAGAAATTGATAATGCCTTTATTCAGATATAACTTTTACCACCTGTCTCAGGAACAATAAGAGGACCTAAGACATCAGCCCTCATTCATTCATGACAGCTGCTTCATGCTGAAATCTATATGTACAAACAACTCAGTCAGAATTGATTGGCTACTAAAACCAAATACCTTTCCATAGTGTCAATCGGCTATAACCAGGTCCCTCTCCTGGGTGTCATTCTACTCCTGTAATATCCCACACTTGTTGCTAAGGTCCCTGTTACCTGAAAAAAGGTGGATATTGTTGTGATATTTAAATACAGTAATCCACTTCTCATACTATACATGTCTAATTATCTAAACATGAACGTTGTGATGTGCATTAGGATTAAATTATCTTGTATACATTAGGACCTGAAGTTGATGAAGAAGCAACCCAAGAAGACTTCGAGTACAAGTTAAAGGGATTCATTGACCTTACCTTGGACAAGAGGTATAGGGTGTTTGGTGATGCTTAAGTGCATTGTTTCCAATCTTCGCTTGACTTCTCTAATACAAATTAGTGATGTGTTGCTGCCCCATAGAAACTTAACCTATCTTTCTGTTGCATAGTTGCTAAAATCACAGTTTAGCAATCCATACTGGGGGCTTGATTCTCCTCTCCTATGAATCCGGAATAGTTTCCCTGGAGTCAGTGGTGTTTGATGTAAACTAGAGAAGTAGGCCTGGCTTTCTTTTTTACTAATACAAATTTAAAATGCTTGTGTACTGTCAGATCAGGTGCGCTGTTCAAGTAAATTGGTCTTGCAAAATTGCTTGCCTCAGAAAAGCAACTTAATTGCACACAATGTCAACATGATAAAGGATGGGTGAGTTTTTCTGGGCGGGTAAGCTACCATTAGTTTTGCAGTGCTGCATTAAGCATATGCCACAGCCTTCAACCAAAGTTTTTACCCCTGTGCATTCTAGCTGAGGAAAGAGGTGAAGGAAAATAAACCAAGCTGTAAATGAGGAGTTGGTCTGCCCAGAAGATTTGTTCAACAACTGTGCTAAATGTTTCTACTTAATTCATAGGACTTCTGTAGATTTTGACAGCACCAGGTAGATGTGTAATGTACACTGCTTTAAAAGTGTACTAAAGCAAAGCCTTCAGCTTTAGCTTACATGAAGAGGTATTTGTATCAATCTATATTCCTCCCAACAGTGCGAAGACAAGACAAGCAGCTCTTGAAGGTCTTAAAAAATGCTCTGACTTCTAAAATACTATATGAATTTATCCTGGAAAGGAGAATGACTTTAACTGATAGCATTGAACGCTGCATAAAGAAAGGTAATAAATGCTTGTACGCTACTGGAAGGTAATGGAACTATAGGATAGGGACTGATTTGTCATACCACTATAGTGTTAACTGATGAGATGAGACTTCTTAGTATTTTACAGAAAATTTTAGTTAATCACATACATTTGTTAGCTAAGCTTCTCTTGTCCTAAGTTAGATATTAGTGAGCATTTATTGCTCTTTGATCATTGAGCTACAAAATTATGTTGGCTTTTGCTTCCTTCCTGTTGGCTGGAATTAGTGACAACCTAGTACCAGTTCCAGTGCTGTTTTCTTCATTCAGGTTTTGTTTAAGATACAGCATGCTTCATTGCTGGATCTCCCTTTACGAACCTCTAAACAAATGTGTGATTCAGTGCAGGATAAAATCCGCAGGTGATCACTCAATGTATTTCCTTATTCTGTAGGTAAGAGTGATGAACAGTCCGCAGCGGCAAGGCTGGCATGTCTTCTCTGTGTGCAGTTGGGGTCGGGAATTGAAAGTGAAGAGATCCTTAAGACCCTTGGACCAGTTCTCAAGAAGATAATCTGTGATGGAACAGCTAGTATCCAGGCTAGACAGGCTGTAAGTATAAAACGTACTGGGCTATAGAAGAGAGGTAGTACAACAGTTTAAAGCTTTGGTACTTTGCTCTTTCCTTTGCTGCCAAAATACAGACTACTTCACAGATGTGTTAATGCAAGCCTATAATTTAATTCTTGCACTAATGTACACAGGTGTTGGGCTGCCAGAAGCCTTCAGTGATGGCATGAGATTTGAGAATTGGTGTTTGTTTCACTCATTGGCTTGAAAGAGCTACATGTTGATTTTCACTTCAATTTCTGCACTTATCATTCTTTTCAGTACCAAAGCATTTTTTGTCAGTCATGGAGAGCCATGTTCTGTGGAAATTGGGACATCATGTAAAGTATCTTGGTTCTTTTGTGCTTTTGTGCTTTTTCCATCACGAAACTCTGCTTACATTTTATGTGACTAGGCATTGGTCAGTCAGTTCTTCCTTCAGTTTGGACTGTTAATAGGTCTGTTCTGGACTACATTATCAATATGACTCCTACCATGAATTAGGTGTGAGACAGTGCATGGTCCTTTCACTTCTAGAATTCCTATTGTATTGCCTGTCTACTAGGATTATTTTAAATGTTTCCTGAAACAGTATACAGAGTCCACAAATATTTATGCAAGTTGTAAAACTTGTGGGATATAAGTATAATTATACCTAGCAGAAAAGGGTGTAAAATTGCATGCCCTCCTCAAGTCAAGGATCCCTTTTTGGTAAGGATGGTAGCCTCAAACCCAAGTACAGAGAATCCACCTGTGCCTCCGTTCCTGCACCTACCAAACTATTAACTAAAAGCCCCTTCAAAGCAGTAGCCATGGCTGCTAATGATACTGGATATTTCTGTAACTTTAATGTCTTGAGTTTGTTGAGCTAGTCCCATCTAACTCTTGCATCCACTTTTGTACAACTGGTTTGCCTGTTTTGTTGTTGTCGTCAAGTAGTGTCAAAACAAAAGTTTCTAGCTTGACTATGGTTGCAACAAAGCACAACTGAAACACTGCTTTAAAAGTAAAGCAGCCCTAGTATTTAATACAGATGTTTAGGAAGAGCTTGAATTGCCTTTGGGTGTTAGAAAATGATACCCACAAGAAACTGGAAAAATATACCACATTGAGCTGGTGAGACTACACATAGAGTAGACCCTTAAAATGCCGTTTATCAGAATTCTGGAAAATCCTTCCTCCAGCAGTGAGTAGACCCCAGCCATCCCTTTTATTTCATTGTGAAACTTGTAGTTCATAGTAGTGAGCTTTTACTTGCTCTTCTAATTTAGCTAATCAGGTGAAAGGCAGGCTATATACAGCTCTTGTAACTGGCAATGTATCTCTCTTTGTTTAGAGGTACATACATCCTCAGAAGTGCAAATACTTATGCAGAGCAGCATATGTTGTAAAGCGGGCCAGATATAGCTATGAAGCGAAAAATATGAGGGAAGAGTTCATTGTGAGTTCATTCTGTTTAAGGAATCGTTCCATGGGCACTCCACATAGAACTTATTTATACTAGCAGTTGGAGTAACAAAGACCAGAGTTTAAAATTTTGGAATCTTGTCAGGTCTGGTAGAATCAACATAAACTAGGAAATACTGACTTGTTTTACTTCTCTTCCATGTCTAGAGTGCAACCTGCTTGGGAGTTTGCTGTTTCATAGTCACTGATGATATTACTGTAAGGATAAACACTTAACCCTTTATATCAAGTTTTACACAAATTTTAATAATTGAATTTAGCCATTTACACTGCTTTTTTTTAAACCAGGAACTGTATTCAACTATGGAGTGTCTGGAAAACATATTCACAAAATGGTATCAGAGAGAGAGCGACACTAATGGCATTTCTAGCACCCACAACACAGTGCTTCACATCAGTGCACTTTTAGCATGGACTCTGTTGCTGACCATCTGCCCAGTGAGCGAAGTGAAGAAAAAACTTGAAATGTATGTTCCTTTCCTGGAAGGCAACTTCTACAATGAACTGTTATTTTGCTTTATGTTGCTTTATTGTAAAAATCGCTCTTTACAGATTAATAAAATGTAGCTCATTTTTTCTAGGCACTTACACAAACTTCCAAACCTCTTATCTTGTGATGATGTCAACATGAGAATTGCTGCTGGAGAAACACTAGCTCTTCTGTTTGAACTGGCACGAGAAACGGAAGCTGTAAGTATAATGGATTTAGCTGTAACAGGTTTCTTGCATTGAGATTGTTGCGAACTAGCATAGCATCTTTCACATAGCATCCCTAATTCCAGAGGACCACCTCTTACAATCTAGTTGTATCTGTCTGTGCATTCTGGGTGGGAAAGTTGCATATAAACACTCCACAACTTAAAATAATGAAGAAAAATGTATCTAAACTTAGAAGACACACTAGAGCAGGGATCAGCAACCTTTGGCACGCAGGAAGCAGCCTGGGCCGGACCACCTCTTCCTGCAGCCCCCATTGGCCTGGGATGGTGAACCACGGCCAGTGGAAGCCGTGATTGGCTGAACCTGTGGATGCTGCAGGTAAACAAACCGTCCTGGCCTGCCAGGGGCTTAACCTGATGGGCTGCATGCCAAAGGTTGCTGATCCCTGCACTAGAACTACTCCAATTAAAACAAGCCTCCTTGTGCTAGCCCTCCTATTATCTCCGTGTGATAACTCCAGGGCTGCTGGAATGCTAGTCAATAAAATCTGATACTGACATCTAAATAACACTTTTTAAAAAAAACTGCAAAGAAAAGAAATGTAGATTAGCATCTTGTACCCCAACAAACCATGGTAAAGGGGGCATTTAGTACAGACTCTTACCCTTTTCAGCTTCCCCAAATCTGGCAGTTCCAGGGACTCGCAGAAAGCATTGCTGTGTGCTGTCACAGTTGCAATGAACTCTTGAGTTTAGACAGTATCTTGAGTAGGGGTTTTTCCATTTCCTTATGTTCCCTCAAAGGGGGGTACCCAAGGATGAAGAGATTAGTAAAACATCATTATGGGACTTGCCTGATGCTTTTGAACAATTTCTTGGCATCTGAAAGTAGATTGATGGCATTTTGCCAGTTGCAACTTTGGAGGAAGACTTTTAAGGTGTTAATTACATATTTATGTTGTGCTACTGAGGTTGTGATTGGTATATTTTCCTTGTGGTTTACCTTTGCACTGGATGGTTAGATATTTTAAGTAACTTGTAATTTGTCTTTTAATGTTGCCTTATAACAGACTTAATCTGTTTCGTTGCCCTTCGGTGTAATGTGCCTTAACTTCTTAACTGTTTTTTGACAGCAATGAAGAAAATAGTCTCCAGTTATCCATGGGCACAGCTTGGGAGGGCTGCCAGAAGGGCGCCTGGCAAAGCACATCAGCCTTGACCAAGCTAGAACATGGTCTGAGAGGGAAGGGTAACTGTAAATGAGTCAGGATACCAAGCACAGTAACTTCACATGTACCTAAATTGTGCTGCTTTTTGTAGTGCTTCTAAATACGGCAGGTAGTTGGTTGCAAGATCCTAGCTATGGAAGGCTACTTTGAAAGGGCTTGACAGTGAAAGTGAAGTTATTAGGCCTGGCAAGATGAGTCTAGAGCTTGCAGACACATTGCAAGTGAAGAAAAGAGTTCAAGTGACTGAAATTTTGGTTTGAATGTAGTTGGCTTTGATAAAATAATATAAATATGCATTCTTTAAGATCTTAAAACACTTCCTTTAAGAAAGCAACAGAGGGTCCTGTGGCACCTTTGAGACTAAGTACTTCCTTTAAGAAAAGCACTTCAGTTCATATGCAAGTTACCCCGTTCAGTAGCTTGTATAATAAGCAGAATTTATGACAAAAGGGTTCTCGTAGCCCATCTGATGCTAATCTTATCTACACTACTCCCATTCATGCAAGATTTTTACTACATTCCTTGCTCTTATTTAGCATTCATTCTTTCAAACTACATGCAGTATTCACTCTTAAATTTACCAACTTAATCACAGGATCAGATGACACTAAGTATATTTGTGTGGTGTGGTATATGGAGCAGACTGGGAGGACACTGAAGTAAAATGAGATTAAAAAATTACAACGACAAAGAAGGAAATAGAAACACACAGAAGACAGCTGTTAAATAGAGTAGTGCCTAGGAGCCGCAGTTAAGGTGCAGGGTTCTGTTTTAGGCATAGTTAAAAAATGAACAGCTGGTCCATGCCACAAATAGTTTTACTTTGATAGCATGCTATCATTTGAAAGAGTAATGTAAATAATGTGGAATCGGTAAAAAGACAAAACGATGCACTTGTAGTTGGTTAGGAATTAATCTGGCCTCCATAAACTGTTCGGTTTTAGTCTTAAAATATTAGAAGTCCCCTTTGTAAGCTCTGGGCTCCCTTTCCAAACTTAATTTAACAGTAATAAATGGCATTAAACATCTTAAGTCAACTGTCAGTATCTCCGCAATCACCCCAAAACTTAATTATCCCATGCCAATAAGCATCTCCTCGACTCCAAGTGCCAGAGAACATAACACTACAGCATGTCCAGAGGGTTAACAAATCTAGGCACTAGCAGGCCAAGTGGGGCGTTTGTTCCATAATCCAAGGGCCTCACAAGAGACCTTGTTGGTAGCTGCTTTCATATTGAGGGAGCTCCACATTGAATGCTTCAGTTGACAACTGTACCAGCAGGTGCAAACAGGTCACACTTGGGTAACTGGACCCTGATCACTTAACTTTTTAAGTACAGTTAATATATTTATTTTACCTTATAAATGCCTTGTGATCCCAAATGACAATACTGTGGGAAAAGTTGATGTATTACCACTTAGAGAAAAATTGTGTGAAGACCAGAAACTGAAACATCTCCTTTCGTCTGGCTAGGATTTCTTTTATGAAGACATGGAACTTTTAACACAGAAACTGAGGGCCCTGGCTACAGATGGAAACAAGCACCGTGCCAAAGTAGACAAAAGAAAGCAGCGATCTGTTTTCAGAGATGTCTTGCGAGCAGTAGAGGTACTCTTGATTACTTTGAAAATACTCCTCTGTAAAGTAAAAAGTGGCAAACAATTTATAAAACAGTTGTATGAACACTAGACCATTGAAAAACTTGATTACAATTTTAGATGAATTTTGAACATAAGCTCCAAATAACTTCCATTTTCAGGTTCTTAACTCGTTAAGAATTAAAGCAGGATTAGTGTTAACTACAGCTTTCAAAGGTTCATGGTTAGTAATCTAAAAAGGATCCAAAGGTTAACTAAAAAAAAAATCTCATTTTTAGATTGGAAATACAAACCTGACTTCCATATTGGATATATGATTTTCTATAAAATGGATAAAACATTGCAATATGAATGTTAAGTGCCCCTTTATTCAATATACTGAGTTTTTGCTGTGAGACTTGTCCTTTACTGTCAAACTCTGATTTTTCTGAATTGTTCTAAAATCTATCGGTTCATTAGCAGGATTACTGGCTTGCAGTATAAGCAAGAACCAGCTTGCATTATTCAGCTGTTGTGTGGATTCAGTTTATAATTGCTCCACTCCACGAGCTTAAAGAATTGTCCTTTACAGCACATCTCCATGCTTAGATTAACATTGCTGTAGGGAACACTATGGAATATCATTGCTAAAAGCTCTGGACAGTAACTTTCAGCTCTTCACCAACAAAATGTTCACGAGTCATTAAGCCGCATAAGTTTGACTTTATGTAACAAATCATGAGCTTGCATCATGATAACTTACCAATCATTTCATTGGTAAGTTAGATGACCCTCGAATCCTTAACTGGGCAAAATCAGGTCAATACCAGCTAAATGGAATATTGTACTTTCAAACAGTCAAAAGTTCTCAGCAGTGAATGTAGCTCTGAGAAAGAAATTAACTCCTAATAGGATGGGATGCTTACACTATGTCAGGAGTAATTGCCAGTTACATAAATACAGAAGAAGGTGACTTGGTCACTAACAGTCCCAAAAATGAATTAGAGAACGTTCTTTACTTAAGGTCTTAGATTGGCACCCATACCTGCATTATCTGAAATTCATACCCACAAGTATGGTTTGCATTAAAATACAGCATTTTAAAGGGGGTTATAAATTTTCCTTTTCAACAGTGTTAAGACCTTGCCTGGATCTTTAAAGATCCACTGAGACCTGACTAATTTACAGATGCAAACCAAGTGAACCAAATCCCATGGACAAAGCCCATATCAAGTGAACATTTCTTTTGATCGTCTACTTACGTATTCATACTTACATCATTGTCCCTTCTAATGTTACCTGTAGCAGCATAAATGGTCTTAAGATTCAGTCCTGCATCAACCTGTCAAGTAAAATCAGCAATTGTACTATACATGCATAGTAGGTTACTTTACAGAATAAATGATTCTTGTCCTTATTTTGTGTAGGATCACTCACTGAAAGGAAAAGTACACTAGTTCTTAACATGCATAAGCTTTCTATATTACTTCTATCTGCATAGGACTTTTTCTAAATCAGGGGTTTTGGTAATGTAGTCTTCATGTTTTGTCTTTGATTTTTGGACAGGAGCGTGACTTCCCTACAGAGACTGTCAAATTTGGACCTGAGCGCATGTATATTGACTGCTGGGTTAAGAAACACACATATGATACCTTCAAGGAAATTCTGGGATCAGGGATGCAATATCATTTGCAGGTGAGCTGTTATTTTCACACAATTTCCTGTCTGGCCACTTGAGTAATTGTTTTCTATAGGAATTTAGCCAGGGATTTGTTAAAGATGTTTACCAATTTAAGAATAAAGCAACATGTCTTTAATTATAGCGATGGTAAGCTGGTTCTAAAGTAACTTTCTATTTTCATTCAAATTTTGTAAAGAGAAGACTAAGGGTTTTTTACACTGGACCAGATTCTCCAGTGTGATCAATCATAAATGGCCAGCTGAAAATGCCCCTTGCAGAAGGGAAATCACTTCTGGTGTGGCTTACACCAGCCCACGCCAGTGTGGGTAATATGGCATCGAGGTCAGGGCGTTGCAGAATCAGTAAGCTGTAGCTGGCTCTCTGACAACTCCTGTGCTGAGCATTGATTGTCTGATGCAAGCAAGAATTGAGCTCTGATTACATATAATAAAACGATGATGGGGGACAGTATTCAACAAGTGTAAATTACCTGTATGGACTCAGTGTTATGTAATTTAAATCTCAAGATTAAAGCTGTTACAGTATTCAATATAGAACCTTGGTTATTGATGTGTTAATTTTTTTACTCAGTCCAATGAGTTTCTTCGGAATGTGTTTGAACTTGGACCACCAGTAATGCTTGATGCTGCAACTCTTAAAACAATGAAGATACCCCGTTTTGAAAGGGTATGTTATCACACCTTAACTGTATCACTTGCACTTACCCCGCTATCGTATTCTTTTTGGGAATTAAATAACATTCAAAATCTGAACAGTTGAACTGCTGCCATTTTATAGTCAACCTGCTACAAATGTTTAGTTAAATGAAAAATGGTTGTTTTGGGGTGCTTCACAAACACATTCTGTCCTGGCCCGAGTTTTAGGTTCACTCTTGTGACTGAAGAGCTACTAATGAGAGCTGTATACACTTGGACACCTTTCACATGGGGGTACAGCACTTTCTTCTGTCCCTGGATGGTCCTGATATGTTACACTGGAGTGTGACAGCTGAAGCCTATGGAAAAGCTTCTGACCTCAGACATGAAAGTTGTTTAACTCTCTCCCAGTAAAGCTTGTATAATGGAACTCATGGCAACTAGGAGGCCTAGCTGTTCATGAGAAATGGTCCTGACAGAATCTTCAAAACTTCTGTAAAATGACATTGAGAATGCATGTTGTGGTGTGGAGTATAGGATTCGTGCTGGTATGGCTTTAGGGTGATTGGGTAATCCTTGTTTTGGCACTCTCCAACAGTGTGGCCATTCTATATTTATACCTATAAAACTTACTGTACCATTTTATGTATCCCAAAACTCACCTACAACAGATTAGGATCCACACCAATTGGATGTGTAGTATAACCTTTCAGAGAGGCAGGAGGAGGGTTTTCTTGACCGTTAATACTAGAATATTAAGAATAGATGTTTTCTAGCCATAGTCAGATTACTCAAATTTATTTAAACACGGTGTTATGGAGCAGTGTTGTCAAACACCCAGCCTGTGGGTCAGATCAATCAAACTTCATGTATTTGTGGTATGCATGATATTCAGAAGTCATGTAAAATACTTCCTAGCTTTGTGGGTTGTGAAGATCACTTTCCCAATATCTACAGTGGAAAACTGATGCAGAGTTTTCCTGAATCTGAAACTAACTTGGTAGGGGAATTAACTCTAACTTTAAAGCTTAAATGACTGATACTGTGAGAATTTGCTGTGCATTGAGGACAGTATGTAGTCCTAAATCATTCCTTGGCCTATGGACCATAGTTAAACATTGAATTTTGTCCTTTTCACAGAATGAGTAACACTTGTTTGGGAGCCCTGAAGAAATAGTCAGATCTGTTAAATGTTAGAAGCCAGACAAGGAGTAAAACTTTCAAAAGCATCAAGTTGCTTTGAGTGAAATTTAGGAACTTAAGGTCCTTTCATTGAGACTTAGACTCCTGAATGCCTGTCATCTTTTCTATTTTGAAAAATTTTAGATCTTATTTCCATATGGTGACACTCAGGCTTATCTAGTGGCAGTTCTCCTTTAATCTGTTTGTTAGATCAGTATGTGCTAAAATCTTGAAACCTATGACCTTCCTTTAACATAAAATTTGTATTCATTTTGTACCACAATTTTGACACAATCTAATGACATTTAAATCATTTAAAATCCTTTACATCCCAATTATGTAAAGAACCTAAACTAGTTTAGGCATAGATATTTCAAACATCTGACTAAATCTTATCTTTCACTTTGTAGCACTTGTACAACTCTGCAGCATTCAAGGCTCGAACAAAGGCTAGAAGCAAATGTCGTGACAAAAGAACAGATGTGGGTGAATTTTTCTAGATCTTCCATGTGGGATCCAAGGTTGAAGACTTTGATAATTTCATAATTTTCTATAAATGTAACTGTTGTAACCTTGAAATTTGAGATTTAATTTATATATCCACATAGCTTAGACTTCATTGCACAGGGATAATATCTAATGTATAGTATCTGTAAATGTTATGCATGTTATAATTGCTTTAGTTGTGTGTACTGTGTGTGTGTGTATACATATAGAATTGGTTGATCTAAAATTGGATGGAAATGTAACTTGTAACACTTATGCAGGATCAAAATCACTCATGAATTTGGTAAACATACCAACAATTAAGTTGTTAGATGGTGCTGAAAGCTATATGTATTAAACTGCCAAAATTGTCTGACCCAGCTCATCTTGGATTGGTGTTAATACAGCGATGAAATTACATAGACGAGCAAGTTATCTTGATAAGAAGAGTAGAGTACCAGGACAAACATGCCTCTGGAACAGCTGCTATTTCTTTGTGTTCAATTATACCCTGTAATTTTAATACTTTTTTAAACTGGCTGATGGACTGACAAATGGCACAAGATATGACCTTACTATACTATACCAGTGCCATGAAGTCCTGCTGTTGGCACTTAAAATGAAGTAGTAAATAACACAAACATACTTGACTATATTTAACTTTAAAAGTGGTGACACATTTTACATATGCTTGTATAAGACTGTTCCATCTTTGGAATAAAAATCTTTCTCACTGAAGACTTTTCAGATGTGGTTGTTATACACATTGTCTAAAAGTAAATGAGATCAGATAACTACACACTTAGTTTTTTCATTTTATCCCTAGAAATGATATAGTAGCTATAAAATATATTATAAAAGTATGCGTCACACAAAACTAGCATTGGCATGACCCAACTTCAGGATTGAGTACTCAAACTTAGTCTGAAAGCTCAATCATAACTCTGTCCACTCAATCTATGCCTTAAATTTGTTTAACTTATTCCCCTGGATCCTCCAAGTTGATATCAGTAAGGTCAGCTGTATGATTATGTACATTTTTTCTGTAAAATATGGTGCTGACAGTAGCAGGCCAGATGCCTTACAGAATCCTAGTCATGCCAATACTGTGGAAACATTCATACGGTTATCAAGTGAAGTTCACCTTACCTAAAGAAATAATTAAAGGAAGATGAGGAACAGCAAAGAGAACTCCCATCAACTGCATTCATTTCATTCACCTGCTATAGAGAAACATGACTGGTGTTCAAACCATCATGCAATTAGATAAAAGAAAATTTAACTCTAAAGAGTACAGAGGGTAAACTCAAATTGGCTGGTGATGGGTTGTACCTGGCAAACAGAGCCATAAGTGCATCAGAAGGAAAAACTTGGATTTAGCAGGTTCTTTAAGTATAACTGAAGATATGAGCCCACCTGTGGGGAAAGTTAGGGTGAAACTTAAGAATGAGGATTTTATCTGCATTCTTCACAAGATTAGCATAGGTTTGCATCACATTTCTAATTGAGTGGTTATGATAGCCTTTTTAGAGAATAAATCTCTTTAGTGTGTAGACTTAACTGGTTCACTGCTTCATGGTTTATCTTCACAGTCCGTGACTGATGGATTCAGTGATGGGTCCTCAATCACTTTTTAAGGACTCTAAGTCCTTGTCCCTAACCACAGTAAATAGTGTATTAGAAAAATGTCTGCCTAGTGTTGTGTCCTGTCTGACAGCACCAGACTAGATTCATCTCATTTCACAAATCTTTGTGATAAATTTGATACCACCTGCTGATCTACCTGTGCCCCAAAGCAGGCACCTTGGTGGTCTGACTTTTATCCTATTTCCTGCCAAGTGTAGATACTGTTCTTAGGCTCTTCAGTCTTAGGGTATGTCTACACTACGGGACTAATCCGAATTTATATAATTCGAATTTGGAAAACAGGTTGTATAAAGTCGAAATGTATGCAGCCACACTAAGCACATTAATTCGGCGGTGTGCGTCCAAGTACCGGGGCTAGCGTCTATTTCTGCAGCGTTGCACTGTGGGTAGCTATCCCATAGTTCCCGCAGTCTCCCGCGCCCATTGGAATTCTGGGTTAAGATCCCAGTGCCTGATGGGACAAAAAACATCGTCGTAGGTGGTTCTGGGTACAGCCTCACCCCCTCCCTCCCTGCATGAAAGCAATGGACGGCAGACAACCATTTCGCGCCTTTATTCCTGGGTGGGTGAACACTGCAGACTCCATACCACGGCAAGCATGGAGCCCGCTCAGCTCAAAACAGCAGTCATGAACATTGTAAACACTTCGCGCGTTCTCGTGGAGTTTATGCTGAGCCAGGACCAGAAAAACGAGGCGAGGAGGCAGCGGCGGCGGCGGCAGCGCAGCGACAAGCATGATGAGGACATGGACATGGATACAGAATTCTGTGAAACCACGGGCCCCGGTGCTTTGGAGATCATGTTGTTAATGGGGCAGATTCTATCCATGGAATGCCGATTCTGGGCAAGGGAAACAAGCACAGACTGGTGGGACCGCATAGTGTTGCAGGTGTGGGATGATTCCCAGTGGCTGCAGAACTTTCGCACACAAAACCAGACTGAAACCGCACCTAGAGTAGACAGGATATTGGAGCACAGTTCTATTGGCCA